TGTAAAAAGGTCGGCTCGAAGATTTCCAGAAGCATCCGCACGTTCTCTGGGGGTGGCGGGAGCAGCCGGGCGGACTTCCAGAGGCCTCTGGTAGGGGAGGAGGAGGGGGGAGGGCATGGAGAAGGGGAAAGGGAGCGTGTAGAGGGGGAGGAGGAGGAGGAGGAGGATGAGGAAGAGGAGGAGGAGGAGGAGGAGGAGGAGGAGGAGAAGGAGGAGGAGGAGGAGGAGGGGGAGGGGGGGAGGAGGGGGAGATGGGAGGAGGAGGAAGAGGAGGAGGAGGAGGAGGAGGAGGCGGAGGAGGAGCAGGAGGAGGAGGGGGAGGAGGACGAGGAGAAGGAGGATGAGCAGGAGGAGGAGGAGGAGGAGAAGGAGGAGGAGGAGGAGGAGGAGGAGGAGGAGAGAAGGAGGAGGAGGAGGAGGGGGGAGGAGGAAGAGGAGGGATGGGAGGGGGAGGAGGAAAGGGAGGGGAAGAGGGGGTGGAAGGGGGAGGGGGGAGGGGGGAGGAAGGGATGGGAGGGGAGGATGGGGGGGAGGAGGGGAGAGGGAGGAGGGGGAAGAGAGAGTGCAGAGAGGGGGAGGGAGGGGAGGGAGGGGAGGGGAAGGGACTCGTGAGGACGAGAGGAAATTGTGAGGAGGGCGAGGGCGGGAAAAAACGAGGGAGGAGGAGACGGGGTCGGCGGGCGCAGTGGACGAGAGGGCACCCCCCCCTCCCCCTTCCCCTTCTCCCTCCTCCTCCGCCCCCCCCTCCCCTCCCCCACCCCTTTCCCCCCCTCCCCGTCCCCTCCCCTCCCCCTTCCCCTCCCTCTCTCCCCTCCCCCTCGCCCCGCCCCCCCACGGCGAGGCCCCCCCTACCCCTCCCCCCTGCTACTGCAGGAGTCGCCGCAGGAGGTGCGTATTTCGTGGTGCTGCTCCTCCTCCGCCTACCCCATCCTGCTGCTGCTGCTGCTGCTGCCGCCCCTTTTTCTCCCCAGCGTGTTCCCATATTGTTCCTCCTCCTCCTCATCCTTTTCATGTTCGATTCCTTCTCTTGTGCTCCTTCAACTTCTCCTCCGCCTACTCCTCCTTCTCCCACTTCTCCTGTTTCTCTCAGTCCATGTCCTCCAGAGAACGAGACAGGGGAAGAGAGAGAGAGAGAGAGAGCGAGCGAGCGAGAGAGATAGAACGAGCGAGAGAGAGAGAGAGAGAGTGAGAGAGGGAGAGCGAGAGAGAGAGAGAGAGAAAAAAGAAAACGACAGAGAAACACACACAACAATACCTAGCATAATGATGATACGGAGAACGAGCCAAACAAAACGAGGGATGCATACATATATATATATATGACGGTATACATATGTATATTCGTATATTCATATATGTGATTATACACACATATACATACACATGCATATTATATATATATATATATATATATATATATATATATATGCGAACCTATCGGTGGGGCCCTGTTTTCGTCGCCTTCTTACGGATACGCCTGTCGCTGGTGCCCGAATGGACTGTCACTTTCCGCCTGGGCACTGGGACATGCCTCCCAGAGGCCCCCCCTTCCCCGCGCGCGGTCATTCATGGCGCGCGGACGAAAGGCCTGACCCCGGAGGTCACATGCCCCGAAGCTGGATTGGTGCTGGGTTCGCGGACATTGAGAAACAGGAAGAGAGGGAGAGAGAGAGAGAGGGCTAGAGAACGAGAAAGAGAGAGGGGGGGAACGAGAGAGAGAGAGAGAGAGTACGAGAGAGAGAACGTGAGAGCGACAGAGCAAACGAGAGAGAGAGAGAGTGAGAGGAGGAGGGACAAAACCACAGAAACCAGAGACAGGGGAAACGAAATATGACACATGGTCACACAACCCCTGGATGCGTGTCTATAATGGGGTTCCGCGGTCCGCCCGGTGAGGATTGACGAATTCAAATCCCGCCAGCCGTCTGGGCGCAGGTGGTCTAAAGAGTTTCGTCTTCCAACCCCTTTCTTCCACTTCGGGGAGGGGCTTGCCCCCCTTCTGAAAACCCAAAATGACCTCCAAGATGGCTCTGGATGGCCCGAGATGCCTCAAGCTGGCTTCCAAGATGCTCCAAGAGGATCCAAGAAGGTTCCAAGACGACTCCAAGAGGCCTCGGAGGCATTTAAGGAGGCCTCTACGAGGCCAAACTCCTTCCAAAACCTAAGGAGCATCACTGATGTTTGCCTTCTCGCCTTCTCGCTTCCGATGGCCGAGGCCTCAACATGGCTCCAGCATGGCCCAAGAGGGCCCCAAGAGGGGCCCAAGAAAGCCTCAATACGGCCCCGAGAGCGCCCAAGAACGCTCCAAGAGCGCCCCAAGAGGCGACTTTAGAGGGGCAGTGCTACTTGGGGAACCCTCCTTATTTGATCGATGTGCTCCAGGATGGTCCCAAGAATCGCCCAGGAAGCCTTAAGAGGCCCCAAAAAGGCCCCAAAATGGCCCCACGAGGCCCCCAAAAGGCCCCAAGGAGGCCCCCCAAAAGACCCCAAGCGCCCCCCCCGAGGCACCCAAAACGCCCAAGAGACCTCCAGGACCGCCAAGAGACCTCCAAGACGTCCCAAGAGGCCCCCAATAAGCGCCCAAGAGATATCCCAACAAGCTCCGAGAGGCATCCAAAAGACCTCTGGCCCTTTTCGCTTGCCCTCCTCCTCCTGCTCCCCCTTCCTACTACTACTCCTTTTCTTATTATTCCTGTTCCTCCTGTTATCAATAAATATTCCTTCTCCTTACTCTCTCATCCATCCATCCAGCCTCCTCCTTTTCCTCCTCCCTCCTTCGTACGGTTCGGCCGTCCCCCCCTTTGCTCCCGCGCTTCCCTGATCGCCTCAACTCGCCTGGACATCGTTTCCGGATGGGCTGGTCCGGGTACTTTTTTGATCGCGAGCGCGCCGGAGGAGCCGGACGCCGTCAAAGGTCGCAGCAACGAGCTACGAGCGAATTGCGCACCATGGGGGGGGAAACAAACGACGAGAGCACAGCGGAGGAGGAACAAACAGGAGGCGGGCCTCGCTGCCGCTCAGGAGAGGGCGCCGTCGACTGGGGCAAGCTGCCAGGCGGGGTGCATCGCCAAAATGGCGGGGAAATCTGATTGAACGACACCGCGAGCGAGCTGAAGACGCGGGCCACCGTCTCGTAGACGCACCGCAAGGAACAGGCGACAGGACCAACAGTCGCTACGGTCGCTCCGTCTCCAAGTGGCGGTCGAGTCACACGCGCCGTCGTGCGTCGACCGACCCGCGTGCAGGCGCTCAACAGACCAGAGTCTGGATCGCCAGACACCGCCAGGGACTGGTGTCAAGACCGCGCGCCACAACGCAGGGGGCGCGGGCGGGCGCTCTCGCGCTGGGGTAGAACCGATCCATGCGACCGAAGGCGCCGGAGTGCGCCGTGGAGGCGCCCAGGCGCGAGCGCGTTGGATCGCGCTTGCGGGCCGTCGGGGAGAAGCCCGCGCGGTCAGCCGACCCCAGGTAGGTGGGGGACTGTCGCAGGCCAGGGCCGCAGAGCGGAGACGCCGAGGCGGGGGGGCAGCTGAGGGCAAGCGCACTGCCGAAAGGGGCGGCTCGCGCTGGCCACGCGGCAGAAGGTGGGGCCAAGGCGGCGCCTTTGCGCAGAGCATGGGCCGCTGGGCGGGGCGCCGTGGAGAAGCAGTCCACGGCAGTGAAACGCCTCAGACGCATCTGAGACCCCCGGGGCAGAGGCGGGGGCAGAGCGCCGAGGGGCCCCGAGCGGCCCGCGCAGGGCGCGGGGCAAGGGGGGCGGCCGGCGCCAGGTGGGCGAGGAGCCACAAGCTAGCCCAGTGACAAGGGCGCACTGGAAGGCAAGGCGCGAGCCGACGGCCCCAGCTGAGGCACGCGCCTGGCGGCGTCGGGCGCGAGGCCAGGGCGGCCCTCCGGGGGGGGCCGAGGGGAGGGCGGGCGAGGGGCCCAGCAGGCAGGGGGGGAAGGAACCCGAGGGCGGGGCGGTCGGGCGCAGGGGGCTGGCACGAGCGCCGGCGCCCGCGAGAGGGGGGGGGGGGGGCGCGCGCGGGGCGGGCGCAGAGGCGACGAACGGTCGCAAGTCTGCGGGAGGCACGCAGCGAGTGCGGGGCAGGACAGGGGGGGCGGCGAGGGCCGCAAGCGAGGGAAAGCGGAGAGGCGACGACCGGTCGCGAGTACGGGCATGGAGTGGCGAGGCGGCTGAGGCGAGGTGGGCGTCGCGACTAACGGTCGCATGTATTGAGTTGACGGCGCGAGCGGGGGGCAGGGCCCCGCGGGGGGCGCCGAGGGGGTCCGGAGGGGGGCGACCAGGGAGTGGGCCGCGCACCCAGTGAGGGTCTCCCGCTCCTTCCTCCTTGCATCGCTCTTTTCCTCTCCTCGTGTCGTCCTCCTTTCATCGCTCTCTTCCTCTCTCTCTTCTCTCCTCCTCGTCCTCCTGCTTGATGGGCCGCGCCACCTACACGCGGTGGACAAGGAAGATCTGCCCAGCAAGGGGTTGCGATCGAAGACGAAGAGGGCAGGTATCGAGGGTTTGGGGGTATACATGTTGAATGGCGTGCGGGCAACTAAGAACAAAAATTGAAAACGATTGGTGCTGTCTCTGTTCATGTACTTGTCGTCGTCGGCGCGGATGTGTCGCGGCGGAGGTGGGTGGGTCGCGGGTGGGTCGCGGCGCGGGCGTGGCGTGTCGCGGCGGGGGTGGGTCGCGGGTGGCTCGCAGCTCGGGTGGGTCGCGACTCCCCCGCGCCGCGCGCGACCCACCCACGCCCCCTCACTCTCGTCCGCAACTGCGGAAGGGGGGGTATGTAGCCGAAGGCGGGGGTGGAACCGGACGTGGGCCGTAGGCTTAGGTCGGGCAGGTCCCCCTACAGGCGGATTGCAAGCGAAAAATGAAAACTGTGAACAATACTCCACAACTTCCACACACAAATCAAAAAAACTCGTCCCCATATTACTTGTAAGCTATTTTTGGATATTCCCCCTGAAGAGGGACAAGCCCGACTGAACCGAAGGCGAAAGGAGGCCTCCGACAGGAACGGGTAGGCGGCGCGCAGGAGCAGCAGGCCGTCCCTCGAGGACAGCTGCAGGCTGACCTCGAAATCCTGGATGTCCTGCTCGTGCACCTGGTCGGAGAACGGAGGGGCGCGCACGCACGGCGGCCCGCGCGCCGCGAAAGCGCGTGCGCAGCAGAAGAGAGACCACCGCGAGGCGGACGTGCCGGAGGTGACGAATGCCGGCGGCGGCGAGGAGGGGCAACAGAGAGAAAGGAGGGGGGCAGTAGACACAGCCGCCACGGTGCCCCCTGCGGCACGTTGCTCCTCCTCCTCCTCCTCCTCCTCCTCCTCCTCCTCCTCCTCCTCCTCCTCCTCTAGGGGAGAGAAAGGTGGCATAGACATAAAAGCTCGGAGGTCCGCGCGGATTTCTCAGATCGGCGCTGACCCCCCTCCCTGGCGCGCTCCGCGCGCCAGGGGCGCCGCCAAGGCAGTCCAGCGCGGATCCCAGGAATCCGCGCGGACCTCCGAGGTTTTATTTTCATGCCATGCTTCGTTCCCCTATCCTCCTCCTCCTCCTCCTCCTCCTCCTCCTCCTCCTCCTCCTCCCCCTCCTCCTCCTCCTCCTCCTCCTCCTTACCTGACCTGACCTGACCTGACCTGACCTTACCTTGCCTGACCTTACCTCCCCCTCCTTACTTGACCTCCTCCTCCTCCTCCGTTACCTTACCTTACCTCTTCCTCTGCCTCGTCGCTCGGGGAGCGGGGAGGCCACCAGCCGAGCCGATGCGTCTGAGCCTCCGCGTGCACGCACACACACATACAGCCATACATATACACATATACATGCATACTTACGTACACACATCTATGCATACATACATACCTGCAAACATACATGCATGCATGCATACAAACACACAATATCCACATACAAACATACATGCGTACACGCATTCACTACATTACATACATTAACAGTACAATACACTGCATCGCATTGCATTACATTGCGTTACCACGCATTACATTACATTGCATGACATTCCATTCCATTCCATCACATTACATTACATACATACATACACGCACACACCAGCGGCACACACAAGCCAATGTACATGGGCACACAGCCATGATGCTTCCCCAGTGCGAGTCGATGGTATGCTCGGTCAGCGATGCGCGCAAAGCAGTGAATAACATGGGCCAGGGCTGGACCTAAGCGTTGTTTGTCGTTTTGCGTTCGTTTTGCGTTTCGTTTTGCTCTACTTGTTTTCCTGCACGTCCCAGTCGAAAGTGAGCCTGGTAGCTCAAATATGGCATATAGCCTGGCAAATTGCATCCATCGCTCTGCTGTGACGGTACAGTATGAGGGGTGGATGGATAAGATAGGATAAGATCGATGTAATGATCTTTCCAGCACGTAGCGAACACTCGCGGTGTCCGGGCAAATAGGGCGCGCGTGCCTTGAGCCCAAGGCAGCGGCGCGCGAGCTATGCTCCCGATACTGTAACATATCCCAAAGAGCTACCCTTAAAGTCGGGAGGGGAGGAGACGGAGAGCATAGTCGCACGCAAAGATCGCGCGCACGACTGTTTGCAAAGAAAAGAAAACAGTGCGTACAGTCTGGTCGAACACCAGACTGTAAGGCGAGTTTCCTCGCAAAGTCTTTCACGCAAATACAGGACAGCCCCTTCAAACAATGAAGGGCTATCGGCTTAGTTAGAAGTAAGCCAAAATTAGGCCATACCTCACCAAGCAAATGTGTATTAAGGCAAAGAGCCTGAGTTGTACAAAGCCGGCTCGTTGCCAGGCGTGAAATATAAGGCTCGTTTCCGAGCAGCTAGAGGGGCGCCTTTATAGTAGGCGCCCGTGCTGGCAAACTGGACCGCGAGGGCAACAAGGACAGACTAAAATTGATTAGACTTAGGTTTGTCTCTGTCCTCGGGACCCCGAAAGGGAACAAATTGCTTCACGTCATACTTAAATGACTGAGTGCCTGACATCACTTCCAGAAGCAGCTCCCGATCGATGCTTCCCTTTGTATGCCCATCTGCGGTCATATCCCTAGTATCACACCATTGCACATTATGTACTATACCTATATCCATGAGCTCACGTATCCAGCTGATATGTCCAAGCAGAGTCCGTTCTGTAGGTATTTTGAGATCCCTGCTTGATAAAGATTTGTAGACGGACTCAGCGTCTATGGTAAGAGAGACTTTGATAGCAAGGCCTCCAACTTCACGCATGTCTCGTAGTTGTCGTGGAGTCAAAGCCCCTGCCTTAAGCTCGTGGAGAGTAATGTGCGTAGGGTAACACTCATCAAGGTTATGTGCGGCTGCAAGTGCCTCCGCAGCATAACTGGACCTCACCTGTAATCGGTGTGATTTGCAGAGTCCGTCACAGAGGTGAACGACGGACTTGCCTTGAGGCGAGTTTCCTCGCCGTAGTACGTTGGCCCCGCGTATGCCGTAGCCCTTGGTCTCGTCATCCTCCTCCCCGGTAAGCTTCCGATACCCCGAATCGCTATGGATGTCAACTTCATTCGTCGGCTTCATCCGAGGGAAGGTGATGCGTTTCGGGCTGCTGATCAGCTTTCGCGCCACAGCATTCAAACGTCTGACCACATATACCATGAGCCAGATTTGGGTAAGAAGGGCATAGGCGAGGGCTCCTCGCAGGCTGACGAACATGTCGGTAATGAGTTTCGTGGCTTTGGCGTCGGCCGCCGCTCCTGTAAGTCCTGGGTGTGTGATAGGACGTAGTTGTTTAATGTGCTCGTCCTGGTCCATGATCACATCTCCCTGATCATTCTTAGTGTAGCGAACGGCGCAGTTCGTAGATGTGTGCTTGTTGAGCTTGCATTTGCCAAACACCTTTTCGACACGTTGTACATAGTCGTCTATATTTTTCTCTAGACCTGTCATATTAATATCATCGACATGTTTTGCCGTCAGAAGGTCTTGGCTGAATTCAAATTCAGGATCGTAGCTGGTCGGTGTAAGTCCTATAGCTCGTGTGGTCGTACGAAGTTTGAGAGAGAACGCTCTTGGAGCGTCCTTAGTGCCCGTTCCTGGTTTGAGGCATCTAAGACAGTGTCGACTTTCGTCGTAGGATGAGAAGCCGGGTAATGTACGAAGTACCTGAGCGCTTCCTGGTGGAAGAGTAAAGCAAACCATGCGAGTTTCCTCGCCGGTGGCATGGGCAAGTTCCTCATAGGTCAAACCCTTGAGGAACGCCTTATCGATATCCATGGATGCTAAGATCCACTCTGGATGGCATGCCGCTTCACTTGCCAGGAGTCGTTGGGACTGCCTTCGGGCGGTTCCCGAGAATGTTTCCACATCAAAAGCCTCAGTATCCATAAATCCACGAAGGACCAGTCTGAGACGAATGGTTTTAACGTTCTCGGTACCCATCTTTACGAACTTCCACTTGTATACATATCTGGATGTCATGATGTTGGAAGCTTTGGATAAATCGTACATCTCAAAGCATCGATTATCAATCCAGATTTTGAGCTCAGTATATAAGGCTTCACTAACCTCCTTTGGATGTGCTGCTATGTCGGCTTTGGTTAGTAGATCATCTTCTTTGACAACCACAGCACGTTTAGCAGCAGAGGATACATATACTCTCATCGTTGCGACCATATCGGTATCGAGCTGTGCAAGTTGAGTCTGATCCAACACTATTTTAGACATTTCTGATGTAAAGCATAGTTCAACGTAAGGACCGTATTCATCACTGTCTAGAGAGTAGCTCTCGTCGGCTGTGTTTGAACAAAGAGAGACTAGACAGGACTCACATGATTTCGGCTCGTCTCCGAGCATATCTGATGATATAATATCATCTTCGTCCACAAATGCTGAAACCAAAACACACTGGTCGGGCAGCATAGTTGTTGGGACGCAATAGAGATAATCATCGGTAATCGTCGTAGGATGAAGGTCCATACGTAGCTCGTCGTACCACTCTTCCAGCATCATAGCTTCAATATTGTGTTCCTCATTTTCCTCATAGATTGTCGACAGACGGCCTTCGCTCGGCGATGAAGCGTCTGGTGTGTCTGGAGAAGGCCTGTTTCCAGGCGACTCGTGTTCTCCAGACGTGTTGCTTGGATGCTGATATTTAGCCAAATCGTCGTGAAATCCTAAGGAAGGGACACGTGAAGTCAAGCATTGAATAAGTCTGGAGTGAGTGCTACCAGTGATCTGAGAAATGTTTAAGCCAGTGCCCACGCATTCGTAATAGTGGAACGCCGGGCTGATGTCGTTGTCATAGTGGATCAGCGTAGACCCGGTGGCGTACTTTACTGCAGGTAGGCTTGACACACTCTTAGCCAATCGAACTGCTACTACATGTTCTACTCGGAAGTAATTCCGTACGAGATACTGTAGTGCTAAGTGTACGCGCGGGTGAAACTTGCTGTCGTCTGACAGATTAAGGTTTCCCTTGTAATCGGGGATATACCCGAAAACTTTGGCAGGTTTCCCTGCGCTGAGGTGTGCCACATAAGCAAGGACGGTTTGCATGGCCATATTATCCATGCCAAGTTCCCGTGTGAGGAGACATTCGATGTATAGTGTGTGACGAGCATCAGGATACATCACAATTACCTCACGAGATCCTGCCTTGACAACAATATGTCCTCTTTCAGGCACGTTTCGGATCACCGGGAATGGGCCGTTCCAGCCTCCATGGTCGTCCTTGGTGGCAGTAGGTCGGTGGTAGTCGACCAAATCCCCTGATGAGTAGAGGCGAGCACCATCAGGAGTCGTCTTAGCCCTAAGAGCCCGATTTGTCTTGGCTACAGCAGTAGCCTGAGTTATGGCTTCGAGGCTGACTTCCCTTACACGACGTTCTCGTTCGTGTCCTGAAGTCCCGGGTCCCTTGGGAAAGTCAAGGGTATCGAGATCAGGAAGGAAGGAGGGCTGACGTCCTGTGTGTGCCTGATATGGCGATACTCCGTTATAAAACGTAAACGCCTTGTGTATGCCTTCCGCCAGTACTCTAGTGAATACAACAGGGATGTTGTGTCTATTCAATTCTTCCTCAATCATGTGGAGGACGCCTCTGAGAATGCCGTTTCGTGACTCAATTGAAGTCGCGTGTTGGCCGGGAGCACA